TGGAATTTTTGGAAGTATCTTTGTAAATATGGTTTCTAAGGGTATAAATTAAATTTTTCGCACAAAATGATATTTTCCTAATTTTTAATATTAATAAATCCGAAAATAATTAACTTAATGTTAATTAAAGTTTAGGTTAATAATAGATTAAAGATTTATGTTAATGACATTCGTTTATATTAATAACATTGATTTATGATAATGATATTCATGTCATTTGATAAGAAGGAATTAAGATTTAATGTTTATTTATGTTAATGGTTTCTTTATATTAATGATTAGGAATTAAGGTTAATGTTGGGTAAGGAGAATTTTGATAAATGATTAAGCAAATTAAATTCATATGTTTGTATTTAAGAAAATGAGAGAGAGAGAGAGAGAGAGAGTGTGAAGGAAAGAGATAATCAAGAATAATTTAGAAAAAGAAGATTTTGTTTTAAATTATTTTGTAGATTTTCAAATGAAATTTATACTTATAGGTGATTAATCGTGGTGACATCGAAGGAAGAAGGGCTAGCAAGATAAATCAATTTCCAAACTTCTGTAAGTATACATGGTTCTTTATTTCAGTAAAATTTTTGTTTCTCTCAAATTATATGCAAATCATTATTCTTTACTCTTATCAAATGAATGATCATGCAAATTACATTTTATATTTTATGACATTATATGTAGAGATTATGAAATCAAAAGATATGATATGATGTGAATGTTATATTAAATGATTGAATGTGCATGCTGATTAGATGGAGTTCACTCCCTTATGGTACTAGCTGGGGACGCTGTACTCGTGCACGTTAAAATGATAAAGGATATGGAAAAGGAAAATGGTAAATGAGTACCTTTATGGTACTAGACGGTGACTCATGTGACGGTTATAACGTATACGAAATAAGAAAGTTAAGTATATTGATATGAATATGAAAAGGAAAATGAAAAATATGGTTTCATGTTATGATATGTTTAATATTATGTTAGTATGAAATCATTTTATGTTATGTTCATATGAAATTGACATCCAGCATATTACACAGTTGCTTTATTTACTGTAGTTTGGAATTGTGTACTACTTACTGAGCTTTAGCTTAATATTAGTTGTTAACATTTTCAGGTAAGCTTAAATTAATCAAATGAGTAGAAGGGGCGGCAATGTTTATCATAGGAGAGGAGCTCCGGAAGAAAGGTAATTATGAATTTATTGAGTTTTACGTTTATGTGTTTTCAAAATTTGATGTTTAGAAGCTCTTTCAAATTATTATGGAGATAGATTTAGAGATTAGATAATTTAACCTACCGTCCGACCTTTGTTCCCGCCTCGCCCATGCGAGCTCACCGGACCGGGTCGTGACAAAAGTGGTATCAGAGCAAAGGGTTTGAGATTATTGATCAATATGAAAGAGCCAATAGGATGATTCTCTATGTTAGTTAATGTATAGGGTATGTGTTATAGATGTCTTATTCTATTTCATCGTATATATCTCAAAGCTATGGATCCTGAACAGAATGTCACTGATGGCATTATTATGGAGGAAGGGAGAGAGCTACCAGAGATAGCAGAACCTCAGAAGAATAACACTATGGAGTCATTCGCTCAGATAATGAAAGCGATGACTCAGATGATTAGGACTTCCCAAAATCAGAGTAGTGACAGTGAAAGTGGAGGCCGACCTATGGATAAGAACCTGAAGCTGTTTCAGGATATAAAGCCTCCACTGTTCCCAAGTGGTGGGCCTATAGAGGCTGAGGACTGGCTAATACAGATTGAGAAGATATTGGAGGGCATGTCTTGCCCAGAGGATAGGAGAGTGACACTGGCTGCTTATGCCTTTGATGGTGAGGCTGAAAGGTGGTGGAGGAGTCAGTTAGAAGAAACATTTGGAGGAAGACCAAGCAGTCAAGTCTCCTAGGAAGAATTCGTGAATGTATTCAAAGGCTGGTACGTGCCTATGACAGCCAGGAGACATATGCAGGATAAGTTCAACAGATTGGTTCAGGGAGATCGTTCTGTTACTCAGTATGAGGCCGAGTTCACTAAACTTTCCAGGTATGCCCCTCACCTGATTCCCAATGCTGAAGAGGAGTGTCACGCTTCCTGAATGGATTAAAGGACATAATAAGGCAGCCTCTTGTACTTTTTGGAATTGAAGATTATCCCACTTTGGTGGAAAGAGCCAGAAGGATCGAGATGGACATGCAGGTACCTCAGAGAAGGGACCAACATAAAAGGAAGAGTTTTGATGAGGATATACAAAGTAATCAAACAGGAGGATCAGATGAGAAGAAATCCAAGTTTAATTCTAGTGGAGGCAGTGGTGCAACTATAAGTAAAGTCACGGAACCTTGTGCTGAGTGTGGAAGATTACATAAAGGTGAATGTCTGATTGGTTCTAACACTTGCTATTGGTGTTATCAGCCTGGACACAGCAAAATATTGTCCTGCTTTGGCTCAGAAGACTTCAGGAGAAATGAGATCACTTGAAGCACCTTCACAGAAGAATTATGGAAAACCCAAGATGATAGAACCATCAGTTGCAGGTTCAGTACAAAATCAGTCCAGGCAGAATGTTAAACCGCAAGTTTACACTTTGACTCAGCAAGAGCCCGATGAATCTGTACATGCTGACAATGATAATTGAGATGGCTTTATAGTTTATTTTTAGTGACTTGCAATGAAAAACCTAATGTTTTGGTGTTTTGAATTTAGTAGTTGATCTTGTTATGTTATGTCGGATATTTTGGAATTGATCAGAATATTTTGCTATGATATTTCAGATGTTTAGTTTGTCCTGTTTCAATGTTGAAGTTTATGTTGATGAAATGAACACTATTGATTGAATCGTAATTAGAAGCTGTTTGTAAATTTCGAGGACGAAATTTTTATTAGGAGGGGAGAATTGTAAAACCCGAAAATGCCGTTTTAGACCTCGCACGCTTTTCAAAGCGCCGCGATGAGATTTAAGCAAAAATTTTAATGTTGACGGAATTTAATAGAAATAATTTTAAAAAATCCTACGCAAAATTCTGATCGTTTTGATATATATAACCCATACCCAATTTTGCTTATTTTTGGAATTAAAATTTTCGGAATCTTCATAATACCGGTTTTGCCCCTAATCAATTTAATTGCCGGAATTATTTAAGGGTATAATGGTCATTTGCAAAACCCTTTCTCCCTAATATAGCAAAATCGAGCCCTCCCTTCTCAATTCACGCGTGAACGAGCGGAACCGAGAGGACGGTCGGGCGGACGGTGGCTTCCGCGAGGGCATTTCGGCGGCAATCTTCCGGGGAGAAATTTAGTTCAAATCGAAGGGGACGACGAGAGGATTACTCAGGTATGATTATTTTGGAATGAATCCCTCTCAATCTCTAGTATTTTGGAAAAGAAAATTTTAGGGTTTTTCTAAATTCTCATTTTTCTTCCAAATTTCTTTTAGGAATAAATAGTGAAGGATTAGGAGAACTTTTTAACAATGAAAATGAAATTATTAGAGGAATTTTTGGAGATTTAAAAAAATTAAGGTTTTTCTCTTTAATTGGAATTTTTGAAAGTATATTTGTAAATATGGTTTCTAAGGGTTCTAAGAGGATTTCTAAGGGTATAAATTGAATTTTTAGCACAAAATGATATTTCCCTAATTTTTAATATTAATAAATCCGAAAATAATTAACTTAATATTAATTAAAGTTTAGGTTAATAATAGATTAAAGATTTATGTTAATGACATTCGTTTATGTTAATAACATTGATTTATGATAATGATATTCATGTCATTTGATAAGAAGGAATTAAGATTTAATGTTTATTTATGTTAATGGTTTCTTTATATTAATGATTAGGAATTAAGGTTAATGTTGGGTAAGGGGAATTTTGATAAATGATTAAGCAAATTAAATTCATATGTTTATAATTAAGAAAATGAGAGAGAGAGAGAGAGAGCTAGTGAAGGAAAGAGATAATCTAGAATAATTTAGAAAAATAAGATTTTGTTTTAAATTATTTTGTAGATTTTCAAATGAAATTTATACTTATAGGTGATTAATCGTGGTGACATCGAAGGAAGGGATAGCAAGATAAATCAATTTCCAAACTTCTGTAAGTATACATGGTTCTTTATTTCAGTAAAATTTTTGTTTCTCTCAAGTTATATGCAAATCATTATTTTTTACTCTTGTCAAATGAATGATCATGCAAATTACATTTTATATTTTATGACATTATATAATAGAGATTATGAAATTTATGAAATCAAAAGATATGATGTGAATGTTATATTGAATGAATGAATGTGCATGCTGATTAGATGGAGTTCACCCCCTTATGGTACTAGCTGGGGACGCTGTACTAGTGCACGTTAAAATGGTAAAGGATATGGAAAAGGAAAATGGTAAAGGAGTACCTTTATGGTACTAGACGGTGACTCCTGTGACGGTTGTAATGTATACGAAATAAGAAAGCTAAGTATATTGATATGAATATGAAAAGGAAAATGAAAAATATGGTTTCATGTTATGATATGTTTAATGTTATGTTAGTATGAAATCATTTTATGTCGTGTTCATATGAAATTAACATCCAGCATATTACACAGTTGCTTTGTTTACTGTAGTTTAGAATTGTATACTACTTACTAAGCTTTAGCATAATGTTAGTTGTTAACATTTTCAGGTAAGCTTAAATTAATCAAGTGAGTAGAAGGGGCGGCAATGTTTATCATAGAAGAGGAGCTCCGGAAGAAAGGTAATTATGAATTTATTGAGTTTTACGTTTATGTGTTTTCAACATTTGATGTTTAGAGGCTCTTTCAAATTATTAAGGAGATAGATTTAGAGATTAGATAATTTAACCTACCGTCCGACCTTTGTTCCCGCCTCGCCCATGCGAGCTCATCGGGCCGGGTCGTGACACCAATTGCCTTCCCCATAGTAAGATCTTGAAATACACAATACTTATCAAATAAATTAGCTCGCAATTTTGGTCATTGGCGATTTTATGGATCAGTAAAAGATTTACACCAAGATGAGGTATGTATAATATATCACTGAGGGTGAATGTGGAGAAAATTAAAGTATTTCCTTCACCACAATAGTTGTTCTGCAATCATAAGTGAGTTTTATTTTACTAATGGGGAAAGATTTGTAGGTTCGAATGATATTGGCATAGTTTGTCCTAAATCTAAGATCCAAGTTTATGGGGAGTTATCTGAGGCACTAAAACAAAGGAGTTGGAATTCATACCCTTCTGAGCCAAAAAGCATGATCAGGATGATTTCTCAAGCAATTTAAGGATTAGTTTGACAATTTTATTCAGAGTTGAGCCTTTCTAATTCAACAAGATAAGCTTGTCAATTCATGGAGTTTGTACTTTTCTTCGATTTGTCATTTCTTGTTATAGTAGCTACACCAAAGATTGCCTTTTGAAGAAAATTTTTGTGTCATTTTTAGAGGAAGAGTATGGCAGCAAGTCCCTTACCATGGATTTCAATGGTAATCATGCAGATATTTCAAAGATTGAAGAGTCGAGCATTACTGTTCGTCTTGTTCGTTGGCCTGTATAATAGAGAATACATCATTTAGGGTTGGTAGATTTTCTCTGCTTAAAATTTAGAAACGAATGTGATCAATACCATTATTTAGTCCTACAAGAAACCCAAACACCCTTTCTCTTTCTAAAAATGGCATGATAATTACAACATCATCGAAGCACATTTTCTTGAGATCTTAGTATTAATATTGTTCAAGCTAACAAATCTTCCTTGCAATAAAATATTCAATAACATGAAGGCTAGTTTAGTTGGTTTTTAAGATCTTAGTTTTGATAACTTAAAAGAGGGCAATATCTTTACTTTTTAGTATGTTTGTTTGACAGTACCATAAACTTCTTTTGCAATAGACAATAACATATATAGACGACTAATTCTAGATTTCATGGTATTTTAAAACCATGCCATGATTATAGAATCAACTTCTTCCTAAAGTATAAACTTTGGATCATTCGGCTCTGTAGGAAAATCCATAAGGTGATAGATCCTTCTCAAGCCTTTCAGAAACTCAAGAGAAAAGACTGGAGAATAAGAAATTTATAAATTCAGTTCAAATTAGCATGAATATGGCTAATGTTGACGACAAAGATTGTCTTTGACTTAATAATCATTCAAAGGAAATTAAAATTACAAATAATGAGTTTAAAATTAAACTCAAATAAATCACTAATCCAGGTGCACAAATACAACAATTTTCATGCTTGTCATAATTATAGTTGAAAAGCTTTCTCAAGCAGATAGAAACAACTTGCATCTTCCCTTGGCAGTTAAGGGTGTGATTTTCAATGAGACAAAACATAAGCACACAACAAAGGCATGAAAGCAAAACGAAGAATTAAGGAGATGGATATACTAGTTGTACGAAGTGTGCGTAGGGAGATAAAACACCTGGGCAAGGATGTTATATGAGACCAAGCGGAACCTGAATCCTGAAATATTTCAGAAAGTAATCAGTATGAAAGTACCAAGCACAAAAAGGCAAACAAGACCATAATTTTTCCTTTTCTTTACACTTGGTCATCTGTCATTCTGAATAATAAAAAAATGTCATTATGCAAGTGATGTTAATGGCAGAAAATGGCCGCATAAAGCTATCCAATCCAGAACAAAAGAGGCAACAAAGATGGCAGTTCTAGTATTACAGTTTACTGACAAAAATGAGAAGTAGAATGGTGGGATGATGTTCTGTACCAGCAACTAATAGCAATTCTTTGTACAACAAATGGCTGAGCATTTTTTATTCTATAACAAGTAGAATAGGCATCTTAAACCCGATTAAATTTGCTCGGTTTCTTATGTGCAACATGGAAATTAAATTGAGCCAAAATAGATTCAGAATATTACAAACCATTGTGATGCAAATCTTTGTATAGCTCAATGTTTTCAAAATGCAATGCAATACACAACAATTCTTTGTTGCTTCAGCACCCAAAGCGCAACGTGTAGCAGTGCCTCTTTTAACTAAAGCATTCATGACTCATATATCTTGAATAGATATATTATGTACATAGAATATCCATTTAATTAACCAAACCTAAATGATAAAAAAAATAACAAAAGTGAAAAATTAATTTGAATTTTATTACTTGATTTTGTATAATGTTTGGAAGGATTCCTTCAAAAGACTTGTAATAGAAATAAATCAAAGTTATTTGCAAAAAAAAGGGAAAAAGCCCCCAAAAGGGGTGACAGCTAGATTGTAATCTACAGAGCATAAGATGATCAATCTGATGGTTAGAACCATTTATCCTGTGCTCAGTGATCCCTACCAAGATTGATTGATTTGTGAATCTCCCGATCCTTCAATGCTCCCCCTTAAACTAAATGATATAAATCTAACATTCCAAGTTTGTTTATAATATTTTTTATCGTGGGATTGCAGAGTCCTTTGAGGAGAATTTATGCAAGTTGATTTCCTATTAGTGCATATGGAGTATAAATCAACCAACTGTCCGATTTATCTTCTATGAAATGTTTATCCACCTCCATATGCATGGTATAACCATGCTGGACTAGATTATAAGCAATGTTAATGGAAGAATTATTGTAACAGCATATCTTCATTGGTCCTTCCTATTTGATTTTTAAATCTTTTAAAATAATTTTGACCAATAGATGCTCATAGATTTCTTGAGCAATGACTCTAAATTAAGACTAAATGCAAGATCTTGAAACAACATATTGTTTATTGCTCATCCATGTTATGAGATTTCCGACCTAAAATATATAAATCCATTAGTATCCATTTGTAATCCCGCATAGTCTATGCAATGACCCAAATTTTAATTGATTAATGAATTGTTACTTACCTGATTAGAAAACCTTGCAAGCATAGAAACTTGGCTGGGAACGCTACGCCGCTGTGCTGGAGAGCACAACAACGCTTCCCTCTTTGTTTGGACAATTCTAAGTGATCAAGCATAGCGGCACTAGACTTTGGCACGGTGGCGCTAGTTCCTCTATTCTACAATGTTTAGGGGCAGCGCTATGGTCTGGAGAGCTACAACACTAACATGATCAAAATGCTTTCTATAAAATATCAAATATTCATTTTAAGTACCCTTTAGCTATTACCCAACCCATTCTTCATATGTCTTGTTCTAGGAAGATAATGAGAGAAGGGGGACAGAGGAGGAAAGAGAAGAGACAGAAAGTTCATCTCAGGGCATTTTTGTTTGTCCGCCCATTTAACAAAATTGTTCTAATCATGACAAATAATCTTAATCCTACTTTTGTTTTCGATAATTTTAATTTTTTGGTTTTTCACTCCAGAATCTAATAAAAATACATTATCTCCTTATTTAGCAGATTTTCGCCATTTAACTTTTAATATATCATTGATATCTTTCTTATGAATATTTTTAACATAATCTTTTGAGATTTCACAATATAGTTTTGCATCTATGGCATTTCATCTGAAATGACAAGAATAAAGGCACATTGGGTATGCTTTAAGACTCCTACGTTTATTCTATTAGAACTGATATTGCATACATCTGTTATAATCCATCTAACATGGCATGCATTATGACATGAGTAAATTGATACGACATTCATACTAATAATAGGTATACTTAAAATAATTTACAACTATGATGCATGATAAGTGCATAATACGACATGTGTATATCTGCAAAAAATGTTGGCTAGAGATAAAACTAATTCAGGTTAATCGGAGACAGGCTTTTCTTTAAATAAAAGTTTGTTGTAAAATCCTAAAAAGATATAATAGGGAAAGCATAACGGAATTGATTGATATCGGAATTGATTGATATGATATAACTGATGAAGAGTGACTACTAATACAAAAAGTCACCTAACTAATAAACGATGAGACTATAAAAATATGATAGGACTTATTCATATGGGTTTGGCCTACAAGACATGATATGACTAATACAGAAAAACATCAAGTGAGCTAGATTTGTTGGTTTAAGTATTTTACCTTATGTCATTTATTCTTTTATATTCATAGAAATTGTAATGAGTTAATGTAATTGATAGTAGTCCATGACTATTATATATGAATCTTTTGGGATTTGAAATATATGTATATGTTTTGATGATAAATGAAATGTTGCTTCCGTGTATTAAATTGTGTATATTGATGTTATCAATAGCTCTAGTATGTAATTAGACAATAAAAGAGACATTCTTCCTAATTAAATCTTGAGGCGTCACAAAAAAGTATCAATTAAATCGCTTTAAGAGGATTGAATTATAATCAAAGTCATAGAATTGATTATGAGATGAGTCGAAATGTGATAGCCCTAAAATGCATTGTTTGGGACATACAATTGATTTCATGTGTGTATTATTTTTTAGTTGGTATACATTATTCGTAGGCAAGAGAACTATACAAGTGTGCAAATAGAACCAAATGATCAAGATGCAATGAATGAACAAAGTGCTGAAGTTCCAGTGACTTCAGACAGTATAATATAATTTGCTAACTTAATTGCATAATTGATGAGTGATGCACAGGGCAAGCAGGTTGGGAGCAAAGAGAATGAAGCGAATAAGAACTTCAGATGTTTCACAAGCTAAAGCATCCACTACTCAAGGGAGAAATGGAACTACATATAGCAGAAAACTGGCTATTGACAATAAAGAAGATCTTTGACAATAAGAAGTGCCCGAAGAATAGAAAAATACTATTGACAACATTCTTATTTGTGCAAGAAGCAGAAAGATTGTGGATTTGACAACAAAGAGAAATTCCTAGATAAGTTGAACTCATAGATCACATGAGAGACAAGAGTAATTCATAATGCTAGACCAAGAAGACAATAATAATGCAATATGAAGTTGATTTTACTACATTAGTCAGGCATGCCCCATAATTGATAAGTACAATCAATGAAAAATGATATAGATTCCTAAAAAGCTTAGAGATCAATTCAAGCATCCTCCAGTACCTTTGAGGATTAGAGAATTTTTAGAGTTGGTTGAAAGAGTGAGGTTAGTTGAAAATAATTTGGCAATTCCTTAGTGCATGTGGGATATGAGCAGGTGAAGAAAAAGCTAGAGATCATTTCAGTGAAAGAAAAGCAAGATCAATGAATGTAGTATCAAATATGAAATGGTTAAAAACACTTTCCTTTTATTGCGGCCTCAATCATGACTGATCATGATTCCAATAATTTTATTGGGCAGCATATCTCTACCAACACACATCACTCTAATGAGTCTGAGTTGGGACTAACATGTTTTTAAAGTTGCCGGGAAATCGACTTCTCTTGGCTAAAAAATAGCTAGTTCAAAAAGAGGAGCACAAGCAGCTTTAGAATTTCATGTAGCTACAGTACTAGGTCAATGAACTAATTTTAACTGATCCCTATATTTGAAATAATATGGGATGTTAAAGATGCTAAATCAACAAATAAATCAAGCCAAATTCTAGCATACAAGCTACGATGTTACTGATGATTCTATTAACCAAATTTATATATCATATATATTAAGGGGCCAAAAGAAATAATGATGGCCATCATTATAACCTGAGGAGAGGCTCCATTTCAAAAATGGTGCTCTTTAAAACCCTTTTTTTTTTAGTGGGAAGGGGATTACTTTATATTTAAAGACCAAAGCAATTAAAAGAAGGGGAAGTCACGTCTATCTAGCCAATATAATATAGACTATAATCTTATAAAGATTCAATTTACTCTTTTAATTATTGCATTCTGTCCTAACTAATATAAACAATATATATATATATATACTGCTTATTAAAAGTTTAAATCAATTTTAAATTAAATTTTCAATATCTAACCGCAAAGAAAGTGAATGAATGACATTATTAAAGCCTAAATTAAGCAGTTAGCTCCATTTTAAATGAGGCGCCCTCAAATTTTCTCAATTTTTCCCCTTTTAGCAGGAAGGCAGGGAAATTATATTTAAAGATTAAAGCCATGAAATAAAAGGGAAAGCAATATATATTTAATCTGTTAAATATATCAAATATTTCTACAATTCATTCTCTCCTACAAATATATATATATATATATATATAATCAAATCAAAAAGAACTTTCTCATAATAATTAGAAGGCTTAAACAAATCTTAAATTTAGTTTTAACTATTCCAATTTTGAGATAAAAAGGCATGTTTTCAATTAATGATCTATATTTAAACATTACTATTTTCAAGCCCATTGCTATCTATTCTAATATTTAATAAAAGTTTAAATTAATTATTAATTTAATTTATTTTTTTATTCAAATTCTTTTAACTTGGAATATTAGCATAAACATATAATAATTTATCATTTTTATACTTAGCATATTAGCATAAACATTATATTATAAATTATCAATATCATCATTTGTATTGTAATAAGAAAATAGTTGGATACAATGAATGAGTGAATAAAAAATTATTAATCTTCTCAAAATACTTTAAAATACCTAATCTCTATCATTGTTACAATAATAATAATTTATCCCATGCAAGGTATGAGATTATTTTCTTTTATAAGTTAAGCCAATATAGAACCACCCTATTCGAAACACATGCTTAATGCCCTTTTTTAAGCACTTTGTGTCATATTTTTCTACCAAAAGAAGGCAAAAGAAATGGGATGGAGAAGGGGTAGCTTATATAGATGATTCAAAGCAAATCTACAAATTACAATTCAGGGTTGATCGTTTAATAATATTATGCATATTGAATCAGCCAATCAAATCGAGAAAAAAAAATCAATCCCTTCCGGCGAACAGTCCTTGGTGAATGTATAAAAGGATTTGTCATAAACAGTTATTAGTTTGTCCATTCTGTTCAATCAAATGTTCAATAATACCATGCTTAAAGTTCATAATTACTGCCCCTAGCATTTCTTAAAGAGTCATGGTAATGCATCAATCACAATCACATAGATTACGAAATGGTTGACAAATAACAGGATTTTTTTTTCCAGGGGCAGACAATCAGTTAAAGGAATATTAGCATGCATACCATTAGAATTTTTTCTTGCATCCTCTTCTACATCATCTACGGGACTGAAAATTGGAAAAATTGGTCCATCAGCCTCAACCATTTTGATAGAAGAAAACCTCCTGGTAGATCAAGCAGTTAATTCCAGTAAAAGGCAACGCAGTGGCTATTTCTCTCCAGTTCTTCACTAAACAAACTGAGATTGAGTAATAACAAAGAGGTTGCTCGTTAATGTTCTAATGGTGAAAAAATGCCACACTGATAATACCAATCACAAGAGATACAGAGCAATGCTTCAAGAATAGTAGAAAGCAAAATTCTAATTTACTGATGTCTTTTTTTTTTTTAAATCGCATAGTTGCAATGATACTTCTGTTATATTCTCATATAAAACAGCACTATGTTTTCTACAAATTTAAAGAAAAAAAGGACAAAAGAAAAGATAAGCTGTTTGGAGAACATAAATAGAATCATAGAGTTGAAATCAGAAATCACTGAGCAACATGATCAGGTGATAAATCTGAAGGAGATCCCTCCTATCCACCTTAATATCCCTATATGATCGGAAGATTAAAAGGTGGGGTAAGTGCAATGCTTCAAGAATAGTACAAAGCAAGTTAGTAGTTTTCCAATATCTCTATATTTAACCATCTTTTCCTTGCTTCATACTTTGAAAGAGACATCACCCCCTTCTGAAGAGTTAATTCCATAGTTATAGTTATGAAGGCATAAAGAAATTTGAAACAAGAAGATACGGATAACATACCAAACACCATTTCTTTTTTCTAAAATTTAAAGTTGAAAAAATAATCAGGAAAATGGGAATTAACAATTAAGGTAACTTATACATACCTATAAAACGTTTTCCACTAATTGATCACACATGGATGGAGATTACTGGTGTATAATTTTTAAAGTATGTAACAAAGCACCTATAGTTGCATAATGAAGCATTAAATAATTTGTCAATACCCCTAAGTTGCAAGGGATGATAAAAATTATAAAAAAAAAAACATTAGTTAGATTATAAGGCTTCAACTTTAGATAAAGTTATTAAAGATTGACCAAATAATTTTCAATTAAAATATAAAAATTAAATATCACGTTAATATATATATATATATATATCAAATCATATATGATAAATAAGCTTAAGTTAATTTTTAAAGTTGAAAAATAATCAGTTAAAAGTTAATTTTTAAAGTTAATTTTTGAAGTTAATTTTAGGTTGCTCGTAATTAATTAATAATTAAATAAAATAAAAGGCATATATCATAAATGATTTGATAGTTAAATGGTACATAAAATAATGACATGAATGATACAAATGTTAAAAATTAATTTAAATAGAAATATCTAAATCGAATCATGTGTTATCCAAATTTATGGGCAATGAAATGACATGAATTTAAAAATAATAACATACATGTATGATAATTAATACTTAAAATAGTTATATTCAACATTGTGTGCCATCCATATTAAAGATAAATACATTACTTGATGGCTAACTTCTAACTATGTTTGACTTCAATTTCAAAATTTTGTCATATCAGTATAAGACAATCATATATTATGACAAGTGTCACATGCTAAATAAAATTACACTAATATAATATACATGTATGCATGCTTTAAGAAAATATAAAAACAATTTCTTAAATTATTGGCTATTATGTAAAGGCTATGTCTTGAGTTAAAGTGGTTAAAGGATAAAACAAATATATTTAAAATTGATATCATATATCATTTGCAATTAGTCATTAAATAAGTAACCATAAATATGAATTAAATTTAAAAAAAATGATAAACATGGCGCAATAGTTAAATATTAAATAGAATAATTTTAATGCTTAATTTGAATTCAAATTTAAATTTAATGGCATGCATGATGGTTAAGGACTAAATAGAATAGTTGCACTTTCAAAAGTAAAAATTAAAAATTGAATCATGTGCCGCATTCAAAAATAACGCCATGTATGATGAGATAGTTATGGAATAAATAAAATAGATGTGGAATTGGGGCTTTTCATAATCATAATCATATCATGTACCGTGTGATAATTATCTATTCAACAAATTTGAATTCAATTCCAAAACTGTGTCATGTGTCATAAAATGCCCCAAATGTCATCTCCTTCAATCGTCTATACTAGTTCAGTCTACATATAAAGGTGGAGAAAATGCCAGCCAAAACAAGCTTTTCAATCTTCACGAACAGATGATTTTTAAGTATGGAACCAGGCATGCCAAACATAAACATACTTCAACGCTAATTAAGCCTCTAGTAGTAGTATTTTACAAGCTATGGTCAAACATGCAGAAGATTTAGACAAATCGATTCAAGACGGAAGGAACAACTAATTGAATGTAGGGATTCTCAAAAGGTTGGAGATTGTTGGAGGCATTATGCTAAAATAGGCAAACCCGATACCTTAGGGTTTTGAGAGATCGAAAGTTCGTTGGGCAGCCGAAACAGACTGCGGCCAGGTTTAATGGTTGCGGCAGAGCCAAAATCCCTAGTTTTCAACAAGAAGCAACTCGGAATGCGTTGAGCATCCATACCTGAACGCGGGGAGGGAAAACGCGGGAACCAAAGAGATTCCCCGGTGCATGGGATGCCACGCTCTTTCGTTCTTGTGGTTCGCTGCCTTTGACAGCAATTCTTTATTTGCGAAGAGAATTTCCTGCTTTTTTTTCTCCCTCTATAATTTATTTTTGATAAATTTGAGTTTACATCCTCGTAATAATCTAAATTGGATTTTTTTTAATAAAAATATGTTCAAAATTTTATTCTTTAAAAAAAAAACCCATAAAAAATTTTATTGCTTCTAAGACTACTAAATTAACACTGTCATTCAAAATAAGTTAGAATAAGTTCAAATCCTAATCCAAGAATTTTTTGAGCTAATCCAAGAATTTGTTGAGGGCGTCGAGGAGAGAAAGAGTATTTTATGACCTGAGCTTATTGGTAGCATTGATGGGAGAGACTATTTCTTGATATGAGAGCCCTAGGGGCATCATCAGTAATATCTATTTCTCAATGGAAAAAAGAAATTCAAGGTTCAAACCTTCATAATGAAACCATGATTAAATAGAAATTTGAACTCGAACGAATTCAAAATAGTATTGTTTATAAGTCTTTAATAGCTATTCAATATATAAGAGATAATTTCGTCTAAAATAAACTTGGACATTCATGACTATTTGTGCAGGCACTTGTTCGCAAGTGTCATGCATTTTTTGCATTTGGGTCAAGTGAAAAAGAGGATCCATTCCTCTCTCATAATAGTTCGTTCAAGGGACTTGCTCGAAAACTAGGAAATGAGCTTAGCATCATAGCACAATGTACCAATTTCAGCCACATCTTTCAGGCCGTCGCTCTCCCCGAAGAGGGTGACTTTAGAAGTTCTCTATTCGTTAGGCAAATCTTTATTCATCCTAGCCAGAGTCAAGCCTCCCATACAATATACATTGACAATCAAGCTAACGCATGTATCACCCCCCTGAGATATCTCTTACACTCAGATTGGCCTCAAGACCATGCACAAAAGCTACTCATAACCCTCTCACCTTAATGGTGTGACCTCAGACTGACTTCCAGCTTTATGCCGGCCCCATCTCTCTACTGCATTTAGATGCTACTCACCCCTCTTACCTTAACAAGTCAACCTCGTACCAATTCCCTTTCTATGACTATTCAATCTACAAACTCATCATCAAACGCATTCCATCTCATGAAGATCACTGCTTCACCCGGCACAAATGACCAGGCTACATCAAAAACTAATGGGACAACCACTATATCATGTACATACCCCCATAGTCTCCAAGCCCTATCAAATCACTCATCTTTTAAACATAGACTACTTATTTAAAGTCTATCTCGAATGACGCTAATTTGAATAATATCCAAACAAGGTTCAAACAATGTTATAATCATATTTAAGCATGATTTGAACCTTGTTTGAACCCCGTCTGATTAAGGTTTAAAAAAAAAAAGTTAAGATGTGTTTCAAATAAGGCTCAAACACGGTTCAAACAAAACTCAAATTCAAATAGTCAAACATGATTCAATTAGAGATTTACCATCAATATCTACATCATAGTTAAATCATAACAAAGCATGCTATAAGTGTTATATATCCAAGCATATAAATTACCTGTAATTATTTAGATGTGTTGGTGGTATGTGATTGGTTATGTTGTACAAAGCTATAAAAGCTTTTCTTTATATACTCTTCATGTTGGATGTAATAGGGCATATAAATAAATACCATTTATTCTCTTCTACTATGTTTTTTCTTCTTGTATGTTTCTACATGGTATCAGAGCAGGTCGATCATGGCGAGCTCGACAACGTCACAACATTGCGAGCGAATGCACATGGAGAATCAAGAGGAGACTCTGATCTCATCATCGTTGAAGTTTGTGTTGTCGAATATCAAAAACATCATCTCGATTCAACTAGCGTTGGACAACTACTTCATCTGGAAATCCCAGAACTTAAAAAAATTTTGTGCTCATGGCTTCCATAAGTTTCTTGATTCCTCCTCTTCTTCCCCTGATTGGACTCTTTCTCAAGCTTATGGTTCTTCCATGCCTAATCCTTCTTTCACCCAATGGATTTTAAAAGACCAGATTCTTGCCGCAGCTTTGTGTTCCACAATATCTGTTTCCATCTTGCCCTATGTTATTAATCTTGAATCCACGACTGGCATTTGGACAGTTCTTGAAACCCGATTTCAATCTTCCAATAGATCCAAGGTCATACAACTTAAGAACACTCTTCACAATATCTCCCTCAAGAATCTCACTATGACTCAATATCTCTCTGAAATCAAAGCTCTGGTTGATCAAATAGCTGTCGCTGGCTCGACTGCAGACACCGAGGATATAATCCTCTATATCCTGAATGGTCTTCCAATATCCTATCAATCCTTCAAAACTGCCATTAAAATGATGCTCAATCCCATAAGTATTGACCAACAATATCCTCTTATTTTAAGCGATGAGATTAATCTTGCATCTAATGTCATCAAGAGCTCAGCATCTAAATATCCTACTTTGGCACTTTACGCATCACGTGGACGATATCGTGAAACAGAGGAAGAAACACCTCCTCAGCGTGCTGGAAAGCCGTCGGCGAATAAAGCTGCCGGCAAAAACCACCAGAAACATGTTTCCTACGCCATTTTTTTCGGCGGTTTGGGCACCACCGGAAAGCCGCCGGTGGTTTTGAAAACCGCCGATGTTACCATACAAGCCGCCGGAAAAAACTGCCGGTTTTGGATGATTTTCCTGTAGTGGCGCCAATTTCCAATCGTCCTCCTGCAGCACCGCCCATTTTCTATCAGATTTGCCTCAAGAAAGGGCATTCCGCAACTTCTTATTGGTATTGTCTCAATCTACAGTATGTTCCCCCTTCCACTAATAACACCAGCATAGCTCTTGTCGCAAGCTCGGACAACACCTACAATAATTGGTTTCTAGACTCTAGAGCAACGTCGCATCTTACCAATTCCCTTGACAACATGTCCCTTTCAAATTCATACCAAGGCAACAACAGTATCACAATTGGCAATGGAAGGTCAGTAAATATTGCTCATAATGGGGCATGCTTATTGCCAACCCCAACTCGTAAGCTTCTTCTATCACAAGTTTTTCACACTCCCTCACTTCATTACAATCTCTTATCTATTTCAAAATTGACTAAAAACAATGATATTTCTATTGTGTTTAACACATCATACTTTATTCTTAAGGATCTCAATACGAAGAAATTTCTTCTTCAAGGGTCGTGTACCAACGACCTCTACCCAGTTCCGACTAGCTCTTCTACGGCCAAATAGAAAGCATTATCGGCTACTGCTATCAACTCACATATGTGGCATTCAAGACTTGGCCATCCTCATGAAAGAATCCTTCATACTATAGCCAAGTGTAATCCGCACCTTAACATACTTATGATTTCATCTGACTGTATTTCTTGTAAACAGTCTAGAGGTCACAAACTACTCTTTGATAAATATGTTACTCCTCAAACTTCCCTGCTCTCTCTTATTCATTTGGATGTTTGGGGACCTGCCCCCATTGTTTTGTTTCAAGGATGTCGCTATTACGTAATTTTTGTAGATGATTTCTCACGATTTATATGGCTATTTCCCATGAAAAATAAATCAGAAGTTCCAAATATATTTATTAACTTTAGAACTCAAATAGAGAATTATACATCTAAATATATTAAAGTTTTACGCACATATGTTGGTACAGAATTTGTAAATCAAACTCTATAACATTTTCTTATGCAAACAGGTATCACTCATCAAATCTCTTGCCCGTATACTCCAGAACAAAATAGAGTTGTTGAAAGAAAGCATAGACATATAATAGAGACTATTCGAACTCTGCTTCACATGGCTTATATCCCTTACTCATGCTGTCCTAAGGCGGTATTGAAATATGTATATTTGATTAATCGAATGCCCTCCCATGTTACATATAGAGTCTCATCTTTTGAACTTCTTCATAATGTTCAACTCGACTATACCCACCTTGGTACTTACGGATGTGCCTTTTTTCCTCTATCTCTGCCTCACACACATCATAAATTCCAACCAAAGGTAAAATTTATGTTTTCATGGGTTATTCCGATACTCACAAAGGTTATAAGTGTCTTGATCCAACTACTATTTAAAAAAACACAACCTTTGATGAGAAATCCTTTCTGTTTGCCAAACACTCATCTCCTTCAACCAAACCAATTACTAAACCCTCTCCGTTATTTCTCACCCCTACTTTTGTCCATTCTTTGATTCAACAACCTACGCAAGAACACAATCCAACTGTGTTACATATTACATCCGACCCAATGTCACAACCCAACCCGACCTGGATAGGTCCTACCATGTTGAGCTGTGACAAGTAAACCCTAAGATCTAGTTTTGGAATTATTTCAGATTTTCTACTGATATTCATTGAAATAATGACGAACCACATAACTACTAAAATATTCAAATAATGAAAAACTCATCCATATAGTTTATTTCATTCATCAAAATAAATATATACACTACAGTACATGGCTACAGACATGAACTACAAAACTGAAAATTAAACTAACCATGACTATACAAAAATCAAAATAGAAAAATACTTATGACCTCATATCTTATCCTGAACAGCTAGTCCACAACCTCTTTCCACTTACCAAATCCTGAAAACCATAAGTAAAACTATAGTGAGCTATAACATCTCAGCAAGTCACACAAACCAATCTAAATTTTTAAATATTCTTTTATTAAATATTTTACTAAATAATTACTGAATAATTAAAAGCAGTTAATTATAGTTTAAAAAAATCACTGAACTGAGAATCACAAAACTAGAAATTATAATAAATGCATTACAGTTATTCTTTGATTCAATTAACAGTACATAATAAATGAATAAATTGCAATTCATATAACAGAGTAGTTCATATCACATTTTCTGGACCCAGAAAAAATTTAAAAGGATTTTGGTCCCTTATGACTCCCTTTTTAATTGTGCTTATAGCACTAGAATACATCAGATATCCATGTCTCAGGCAGAATCTCAAAGTATTATGGTCCCTTATAACTCTAGTAATTCCCTGACACAGACATAATCTCAAAGGATTCTGACCCATTATGGTTTCCAACATATATAAT